CAAGGGACTGTGTGTGAATGCTAAGGCATACTGCACGCTCACTCTCGGCCAGGCAATTCACAACTGTTTTCCCTTGTGCAGAGCCTCAAGATCAGCCTGAAGTGAGAGCTTAAGGCTTTCTCAGGTCTTTCCTGAGCACGCGTACAGTCCTGGGCATGTATGGAGTCCTATTTATGCATTTGGCAGTCCAGATTGCCAGTAACACTTTGGAGCATTTCAAAGCCCCTATGAAAATCTCATTTTCCAGCTTTTTTTAGGCTTTTTGTTTAGCCAATTGCCTTCCCCATCTGCCATACAGATGCCCCAGGCAGCCACAAAGATAATCGATTGCCTCTAATTCTTTTGACAACATTTTTCATACTGGGAAGCTTCCAATCAGGTCAAATAAAGATAGCCTTGCAAGTGAAGCTTCCGGGGCCTGCCAAACAGGTTAAATGACAATTGTCTAGGAATGGGACTTTGGAAGAACTCTGTTCTGCCATCTCCAGTGGCTCCCGGACTGCTGGTTTTTACCAGCATTTGATTTCACGGCTATTGTGGAGCTGAAGAGGGGGAGATGAGAATAGTGAAGATTACAGGATCACAGTGCTCACTGTTCTTAGAGATTTAGTGTTTCCTTGAATGAATGCTCTGCAAATTGCTGCAAGTCTTCAGTCAATTTCCAGAGCTATAAAAAGTTGTGTCTACTTTTGCCAGATTCTATTGGTGTTACGGAGGAGAGACTTTTGGGGACTCCTTAGCATTGTTACTGATGGCATCCCACACACTTTTCTTGGTTTTAAATGCTCTTCCATGTCAAGTCCCACTCACCTAATTCAGGCCTATGTTCAGATGTTTCCTCTTAGGTGTGGCTTTTTGAGAACACCGTCTCCTTGGTACTTGCTTCCACACTATCCACCTCCAAGTCCAAGAAGGCCGTAACAAAAAGAGGGGTGGCAAAGAGGCTTTGAATGCTTCAGATCTTGGGCTCCTGATGATGCAACTGTAACCTCAGGGTGGCCTTACTCACTAGATGTGAACAATCTAGTTAGATCTATTTAGAGTGCTGTGTTCTGTTCTTTAAAGACCAAATCGATAAAAGTTGCTCCATTTTGCATAATGTTTAAGGTGCCAATATCACAGTAACACCATATAAGTTCACTGCTTTCTAGCAGTGGTAACGGTACCTACCCTCAATGAGCTCACGTCAAGATTGAGTGAACAACAATTCACAGAAGTCCTTAGCAATGGGTCTACTGTTATCATTCTATACATAGTTGCTAGGGTTTTCATTATCGTCAGAGCACCCATACCTAATAGAAATCTTTTATCACATATCCGAGTAAAAAGGAACCTCAAAAATCCAAATTCACAATTGCACACCAAGGGCAGTGACTTATACACCTCGAGTCACTGTTAAATGGCATCTAGCCTATGAATATTTTCAAGGACAGGGGTTCACTAGCTTTTAAAGGTACCTCATGGTATTGTGCCAGTTACCCCTATCATTAGGAAGCTTTTCCTTCTACTGAGCCTCAAATCTGTTTTCCCCTGGAACACTCTGAAATGAAGTTTTTTTCATTTGTGCGTGATGGCCCTTCCATCTGCTGGCCTCCCTTACAACACTCTATAGCTCTTCTCTCTAGCTGTGCTCTAGGGAAGAGGCTGATGCTTCCCACTGCAGACCAGCTCTCCCTTGCCACAACCTGAGGTGTCCTATGGAAATCAAGCAGGATCTGAAAGGCCTAGGCAAAAGGAATACATTCCACTGAAGATGACAGGAGCTCTCTCTTTTCCATCTCCCTTTCCATGATAAATGCATCCCTGCTCCACCCATGCCCTAGGAACACCACCAGGTACAACATAGATGCACGCTCACACACACAAAAATAGAGGTTTAATTTATTAGGTGCTCTTTGGCCAAGGCTATATAGAACATTATTGGGGTGAAAATTAAATTCTAGTTACAGATTCATGAAACTTGAAGCCAAATTAGTTTGAGGCTATCAAATCCCCTTTCATCCTCTCCTACATATCAAGGACCTCAGTCATAGCCAATGTAATTCTCTGCTGTTTTTAATTGACTAAAGCAGACAATACATAACGCAGTTGATATTAAGTATCTTGAGGAATGACAAATCAATAGAACTACTTCCACTCTTAAGCATTAACGGGTCACTAACAAATGTTCTGTATATCCACTTTTCATTTATTTTCTCAAACTGTGTGAACTATTCATCAGTATCTGCTATTTGTCTGTACACACACCTAAGTCTTCCAAAATAACATTTAAAGTAAATGTTATTTCCTTAATATTGCTTTAGAAATGTTAACCGTTAAAGAACATTCAATTTAAAAAATAAAGGTTCAGGTACTGACTCAGTAACACATTCTGGTGGATCAAGTTGTTTCCCGCTGACTAGATAAGAGATTCCCAACAACAATGTGTCAGCTTCTTTGCCCAACTCAAAGTGATTGATATAAAGGAGGAAAACCAAACATGCTTGAAATCAGTGACCAAAGGATTTGAATAATTACATTAAATAACCATAACTTTTCATTTAACTATTCACATTCCACACAGTGGAAATTATCCTCTCCAGATTTTTCACTTACACTCTTAACTTTGAAGAACTACAGTAAAAAAACAACTTACAGACTTCCAGGATTGTGTTTTCTTTTAATGCCAAGCACAAAGCGTACATCATAAAATTCGTATTTGGTGTTTGGCATTATTTTAATAGGTACGATCAAGATCACAAATATCTTGCCATAAAAATATTCTACTATAATAATGAAAAGTATCATTACATCATCGATGACACCAATAAAATGTTACAGATATGGTGTTTGCAATACATGTTGGAAGACACATCACATTTGTATTAGTCTTAATATAGGCACAGTAACAAGAGCAAACATTTCCCTCTTTGGCTAGTGATGTGCTTTTATGGTAATTATGCTGCTGATTATCCCAGTGAAGTTAGTTTTGAGGATTTTCTTTACTTGAGCCAAATCTGGACTTATATGCAAGACAGTGGTAAAAGCTCCTAAAAAGATTACTGCTGCCAACTTAAGTCATCTCTGTTAACTGTAGGCTTGTCGCATAAACAAGAGAAATTCAGTGTTTGCTGGTTCTGAATGTCATTTATCCTCTCTGGTGTGGTTTCTTCTCTTTAGCTTCTTTTTTTTCCTCTCCCACCCTCAAAAATTCTGCCGTGGCATTTGTGTGCTTAATTAAATCCATTCTGTGCTTTATTGTTGGAGAATGCGGATGATACAAAGATCTGGGACAGGATCATACAGTGTATACAAAACACAATGTGTTTGGACAAATTCACCTAGTGTGAGAATCATCAGTAGTCAGTTTAAAAGTTTGAAAATCGGACCGAACATTTTGGAAATTTAAAATAACGCCTGCCTTGAAATGGCCGTTTGTAGTTGCGAGATGGCAGAGCACTGGATCAAAACAAGCAAATGGCTTCTTGAGTTGCAAGGGTTCTTTCAATGCTGGAGCCCCGACAGGCAACTGAATCCAAGTCTGAATCACAAGTCTACAGTGCTTGTTTTCCGTATTACATAGGACTTGGCTAGTGAGGCCGAGAAGATACAAGGCGAAAAGAGTATTCGTACAGTTTGCATAGAAAACCTCAGACTTGAAGAAATCAGGTTAACCAAATTCAAAATGCAGTAAGGTTCACCCACCCTGTACTTTGGCTCTTATGTAAATCCTAAGTAGGCATTGCCAGTAGGCCAAGTTTAATCAGGACAGTGCGTACCAGGAGACACTGAATGGTTACAATATGTCCATCCAACCAAGAGCAGATGAACAGCTAATACACCATGATGCGGTCCTCTCCTAGCAGGGTTCTCCTCTGATCACAGAGAGCAAATGAAAGAGGCCGGTCATGACACTTGGTAGAGACATAAGGGCTAACACCTAACTACTCTCTAGCCAGAGGCACTTCCCTTTATTTCCTTACTCCTCTTCTCTCTAGCCCAATCTCCTGACAATGGTTAAAAGAAAAACACCTCAAACAATACCTCTTGCTAAAACAGTAGTCCCTAAAAACTCTTGTCTTAGAATATTGTCAGGTACCCTCAGCAGAGCTCAGCTGAGACCGCATCTTCGTCCATCAGGTTAAGGGCTCTCAGAAGCAATTACGGGAAATATTGAACTGGAAATTAGCTGATTATAACCACAAAAAAGCAGAGTTATTAGGACTTTTCAGCCTCCGAGGGTTTTGGTTGTTTCTTACCCCTATGCAGAGAGTTCTCAACTACCTCTTTTCTACCTGAGGGACAAAGCAGAGGGGTTAGTTTGGGTTGGCTAACTTGCTTCAGTCTGAAAATAGGAGTGGTCCATATTTGTGTTTTCAGTTTGGTGTTAGGTTTGAGCAGATCGCAGTGACGGCTCAAGTTAATCACTTTCTGGCAATCTCATTTCTTCTCTGTTCACTTGGGTTCTGTTAAATACTAGGAAAAGACTTTCTCAGAAGCATGGGCCTCACTGTGTTCTGGCACTGGCCTTTCAAGCCTCTGCGATCTCCCTGCTGACATTTGCTGGGCCTCATTTGGCCTTACCCTCCAACCCTCCAACCCTCCCCTCTTTGCTTGCCCTTGCCTCCAATAAGCCTCTCCTGGAGTCTGGAGGGTCTTCACAAATGAAAAACATTTACATCATGGATAAGTGAATTAATCTAGAAACCTTGGCAAACGTGAGATTAGACTGACATCGGCCGGCTGGGATGGCTCACACCTGGAATCCCAGCAGTTTGGAAAGCTGAGGCAGGTGGATCACCAGAGGTCAGGAGTTCAAGACCAGCCTGGCCAACACAGCAAAACCCCATCTCTACGACAAATATGAAAATTAGCTGGATGTGGTGGCACACGCCTGTAATCCCAGCCACTTGGGAGGCTGAGGCAAGAGAATTGCTTGAACCCAGGAGACAGAGGTTGTGGTGTGCTCAAATTGTGCCACTGCACTCCAGCCTGGGGAACAGAGCAAGGTTTTTTCCAAAAAAAGATTAGACTGACCTCGTCAGAACTTAAGGGACAGACTGTGGGAGGGATGAGTAAGGCAGGATGCAAGCACCGGTTAAAAGGACTTCTCCATGTCGAATACAGCACTAAAACAGGTCTCCTGCCCTCAGAATAGCCTCTTCCATGAACATTCAATCTGAAGGGAGATTCTGGTCCCCAGGAGGGCACAAGGAACACAAAGGCAGAACCAGACCACTGCACCGCCCCTTTAGACGTGAGCAGGTTAATGTGGGCTTCTGCTACCATCCCCATTAAAGCAAATACGTTTACAAAATATTAAGTGCTCTCTAGCAGAGACTGTTTCCTCTGGTGTCTAAAAGCACCCACAGGCACAAACTACGCAGAACCAGGCTCCTGCCAGGAGGCAGCTGGGGGTTCTTCTAGGCCTCTAGGTTTAAGCCAAGTAAGAATCGGGTGGTTTTGGGTCTAGGTCTTCCTGGGGCTGCATACCTAGGACAGGCTGGGTGCACACCTGGGTTTGGCTTAATCCAAATCGATGGATATGCAACGACACTGCTTCACACGTGTGACTCTCTTCTTCTTGGTAGGTGGCTGTAGTTCAGGGCAGTTGAGTGTGACCATCATGGAAGTGAATTTCTTGGGCTTGCAGAAGGAGCAGGACTGAAAGGAGCCTTCCTCCTTCCGGATGTGCCTGGGGATGTAGAAGGAGTTGCACTGGCCGTAACAGAAGCGGTTGATGATGGTGCGACTGTTGCACCCTTCCTCGTGGATGGTCTGCTTAAGCGGCTGGGTTTTGCACCAGTCTCGCTTCAGGTATTTGCGCTCCGTCACATGCAGGGCCTCTTGGCTGGACTCCAGCACCTCCTCCCCGGGCACGGCTGTGCCCCGCCCTTGGCCCCGCCCCCGGTTCCTGGAGCCAGGCTGCTGGGGCGACTCAGTCTGCTCCGAGTCATTGTGCTGGGCCTTGTCTGGCGGGGGGATGGCACCTTGGGACCCTTTCTTTTTCCCTTCAGCAGCGGGCAGCAGGGTCCCCAAGAGGAGAAGCAGGGCTCCCACCGTGTAAGCTGTGCGGCTCATACTAAAGGAAGGAAGCAGAGAGGGGCAGACACAGAACATGGCACCATTAATTTAAAAGTTAGTAGCGCCTATCATCTTAAACGGTACTTGTTAAACACATGTGTAACATGTTCCATTTACTTCTCATAGTACCTGTGTGAGTTAGGTACTGTTATCTCCATGACCCAGCCATCAATCCATGGAGTCATTCCTCCACAGTCCCACAGTGACTCAGGCCCTGGCTGAGTTTAAACTTGACTCTTCTCTTCACCTATTCTCACAGTAACTTCTTCCTGGCTTCTGGCACCAACGGCATTTGACTTTCTATTACATTTACCTGACTATATTCATTCTTGTATTTGATAGTATTTCTTAAGCTCTTTTGCCCTATGACCTTTCCATCTTTTGGAGGAAACTTTTTTCTGTTTTGTTTTACAGCAGGATCAATTAACCTTTCTGCCCAGAGGACTTTTCTCCCCAAACAGCCTGAGGCTTCTGGAGCTGTGAATGCTTGTGAGACTTTGCATTTTTATCAGACGTGGAAGGAGAGATTCATGGAGACCTAAGCTGTGAATGCTCATGAGACTTTGCATTTTTATCGGATGTGGAAGGAGAGATCCAGAGACCAAAAAGCATCTGACAGAAGGAAAACAAAACAGAAAAGGTCACAATCCTGGTGCAGTAACTTGCTGTCTGATCTTAAGGACGTCACTTTACCTCTCAATAAGTGGCTCAATTTAAGCAAAGATACCAATACCTTGTCTCCCCAGGTAGGTTGTTCAGATCCAACTCAATGTCAATGTGAGAGCGTTTGGAGAACCAACCAAATGTTGGCAGTACTGCAGATAGAATCAAAGACCGTAGCGGGCGGCTGACATGACTCATGAGCCTCCGGCTGACATGACTCATGAGCCTCCGCCACGTGGCCTCACTTATTCTCCTCTTGAAACTGGGCAGAGATACTCTGTCATTCTTTATACCATGATATACATTTTTCTACCTTTTAAATAGTGAACTTTGTCACTCACATGTGTTGTGTATAAACAATTTAAAAGGCAAAAGTTAGAAAAACGGTCATGACAGTACAAGTATGTGCAAATATTTACATCAATAAATGCCATGGGCATATTGACTACATTAATGGCAATGCATTACTATGGATAGGTCTGAAGCTAGATATGGGTCTGAAAGGGCAGTCACATGTGAACAGAGGCAACAACAACAAGGAATTAAGGCAGAGGGAAAACCATCAGAAAATAGGAAAGTATAGACAAAACAATGGAGGGAAGAATCCCATTCAGAGAAAGGGGAACACTTCAAGTAGGGTATTCAGGGGAGGTAGGGCAGACAAAAGCAGGAGGAAGAGGAGGATGAGGGTGAGGAGATTGAAGGGGACAAGAATCTTTTTTTGAGACAGTCTCATTGGGACGCCCAGACTGGAGAGCAATGTTATGATCTCGGCTCACTGCAACTTATACCTCCTGGGTTCTAGCGATTCTCCTGCCTCACTCTCCTGAGTAGTTGGGATTATAGGCACGTGCCATCATGGCCAGCTAATTTTTCTATGTTTGGTAGAGACGGGGTTTCACTGCATTGGCCAGGCTGGTCTTCAACTCTTGACCTCAGGTGATCCTTCCATGTCAGCCTCCCCAAGCGCTGGCACATAGCCATGAACCACCACGCCCAGCCAGAGCAGTGAGGGCAAGAGAGAAGCCTCCAGACTAAGATTCTCTTTGGATAGTGCTTCTTAGACCTGAAAGCACAGACCGTTATCTGGAGACATTAAGATGCAGATTGATTCAGCAGGTCTTTTATTAAGCTTTGAGTAGCAAGGCCTGTGAGTACTTGCTGCCATGGAGCAGAGAATTATTAAAATGTGGAAGGATCTTCTTTTCGATGAATGCAGTTTCAAATTCACAGCCTCTCTCCTGTGGCTATCCCAACAACTGGACTTGAATCCTGAAGCTGCTGTCCAATTCCTATGGTTTCTGAACCTAAGAACACAGCTGTGTAGCCCCCATTCCCCTGTGCTCTTTGGAACACCAGTATTACACTTACCCATTAAGTGCAACTGAACAGTCACATTCCTTCCTCCAAAACTGGACAAGTTGGTATTATTAGCCAGAGCAATTACCTTGTACAAAGTCAGCATAAAAACTCGATTTTCTAATGGACAGCATACATTAAGTAAACACCATTCAACCCTAGAATAAGGTAATAAAATGCTGAATTTAAGGTATCTTTAAATGGCACCATCTTTCCAACATTAACCGAGTACTTTTAGACCAGTTCAAGCTTGGAGCCGATAATGTGACTTTCAGCTCCCGCCGTCTCCTGTGGGCATTTAGTGTTATAACCCTCTCACCACTGCTTTAGCTGTGTCCCGGAGATTCCGGTATGCTGTGTCTTTGTACACACTGGTTTCAGGTAACTTATTTCTACCTTAATTTTGTTATTTACCCAGTCGTTATTCAGAAGCAGGTTGTTCAGCTTCCATGTAGTTGTGCAGTTTTGTGTTTCTTAATCTTGATTTCTAATTTGATTCCATTGTGGTCTGAAAGACTTCCGATTTCTGTTCTTTTGCATTTTCTCTAATTATATGATCAATTTTAGAATTGGTGTCATGTGCTGAGAAGAACGTATATTCTGTCGATTTGGGGTGGAGTGCTCTATAGATGTCTATAAAAAACTAAATTTCACATGTAACCAAAAAAGAGCCTGTATAGCCAAGACAATCCTAAACAAAAGAACAAAGCTGGAGGCATCACACTATACTACAAGGCTTCCGTAACCAAAACAGCATGGTACTGGTGCCAAAACAGATATAAGACCAATGGAACAGAAGAAAGGCCTCAGAAATACCACCTCACATGTACAACCATCTGATCTTTGACAAGCCTGACAAAAACAAGCAATAGAGAAAGAATTCCCTATTTAATAAGCGCAGTTGGGAAAACTGGTTAGCCATATGCAGACAACTGAAACTGGACTCCTTCCTTACACCTTATGCAAAAATTAACAAGATGGATTAAAGACAAATGTGAGACCTAAAACCATCAACACTCTACAAGAAAACCTAAGTAATACTATTCAGGACATAGGCATGGGCAAGGACTTCATGACTAAAACACCAAAAGCAATGGCAACCAAAGCCAAAATTGACAAATGGGATCTAATTACACTAGTGCACTTCTACACAGCAAAAGAAACTATCAGTGAACAGGCAACCTACAGAATGGCAGAAAAATTTTGCTATCCATCTGACTAAGGGCTAGTATCTAGAATCTACAGAAACTTAAGTTTACAGCAAGAAAACCCCACCTCATCAAAAAATGGATGGATATAAACAGACACTTCTCAGAAGAAGCCATTTATGTGGCCAATGTGAAAAGATCACTGGTCTTCAGAAAAATGCAAATCAAAACCACAATGAGATACCATTTCACACCCGTTAGAATGGCAATCATTAAACAGTCAGGAAACAAGATGCTGGAGAGGTTGAAGAAACAGGAATGCATTTACACTGTTGGTGGGTGTGTAAATTAGTTCAAGCATTGTGGAAGACTACGGTGATTCCTCAAAGATCTAGAACCAGAAATACCATTTGATCCAGCAATCCCATTATATACCCAAAGGATGATAAATTAAGTAAAGACACATGCACACGTATGCTTGTGGCACTATTCACAATAGCAAAGACTTGGAACCAACCCAAGCGCCCATCGATGAGAGTGGATAAACTGTGGCACATATACACCATGGCATACTATGCAGCCATAAAAAAAGATGAGTTCATATTCTTTGCAGCAACATGGATGAAGCTGAATACTGGCATTCTCAGAAAACTAACCTAAGAACAGAAAACCAAACATGTTCTCACTTGTAAGTGGCAGTTGATCAATTAGACCACATGGACACAGAGAGGGGAACATCACACACACGTTGCAGGGTGGGAGGCTAAGGGAAGGATAGCTTTAGGAGCAATACCTAATATAGATGACAGGCTGACTGCTGTAGCAAACCACCATGGCATGTGTATACCGATAACAAATCTGCATATTCTGCATGTGTATCCCAAAACTTCAAGTATAATGGAAAAAAAGAACCACTTATGAGAAGAGTCCAGTTATAATACAAGACTGAATTTTTCCTGTGATTAGGGTAAGTGGAGCCATTCTCCTGGTCTCAAAATACATTGTGAATTTGAGGTTTCATGAGTTTCTGCTATTTACTCAATTGGAACAAAAACGTAAAATACAATATAATACAATTCAGTTGCTGCCCATTTCAGAGGGGGATTCCAGGAGATGGCCCAAGGCCTATGCCCACAATCTTCCTCTATACCTCCTGAAGATAGTCTCCAGACAATTTCACCCCTCGCAGACCAAGACTCTCCAAGTTCCTCATCAGAGGTCAATCTGAGACTAACTGGGAATGTATGTTAACTGCATATGACAGGTTTACCTCATAAGGCCATACCTTTGCACAAACATTTATCTGAAAAACACACTTTTATTTCTCTGAACCAACTTAAGGCTTTCTTTAGACAACTTTCCCTTCTTGGCATTTTCACATCTGTTGAGTAAATAGCTAGTCTGAGAGTTGATGAGGGCTTATTCATCACCTTACCCTCAAGTGCCTGGCACAAGGCAGGTGCTCGTTAAAATTTGGTAAATGCACGATTGTTATGAACCTCACTGATTTACAGAGTTACCATTCTTTGCGTTTTAAATGCCTTCACCAGTGCCCGTGAACAGAAGAGGCAATTGCAGTCCTACTCTCAGCGTGGCAAATTCCTTCCATCCTAGAGAGCTTCCTAAGACTTGTCTTCTTAGGAATTCCAAATGTTCCCGAAATTTTACGAGTTCTCATCTGGAACCTATGGGTTTCATTTTCTAATTGAAGCCATTGAAATTAATACTATGGCAGAAGTCAACAGCAGAGCTGTAAATTCAAAATTAGTCAACTGTGGTTTTCAGTTTTAATTTGGACAGACTTTGTTCCTATGTGAGTGTGTCTACCTTCTAAGCCAAAGGGTCTGGAGTGACAGGAATTCTTTCTCAAAGTAAGATTAGCTATGGAAAGTGAAATGGTTATTCACTTTTTAAAAGCCTTTTCTTCAAAAATCTTTAGTACCTATTGGAACATGTTCGAGTTGTCAACCTTTATTCTGAGAAGTAAACACCAACTTCAAAAATGTCAATCAAAACCTCAGCTTCTCAACAGCAGTGCTCAGAGGCACACTAGCTGCTCTACACAAGTGACAGCCAGTGGGGCAATTACTATAATTGATAGTGGAATCAGGGCTCTGCCACATCTTGGTCAATCATCCAAGCTCTCCCCACCCACAAACTGCTCTCGATTCTTCAAAGAGGAATGATGTGCACTTGAAATCCCGATTGTATTGTCACCAAATGTGTACTTAGTAAATATCAGAGATGTAGAGGAAATGAAGATCTACATTTCTTGAGCACAATTCTTTTCCACAGCATGTAGCAGGGTGTCCTGTAGTAAAAGTTCAATCCATAGTTCATCCAGACTTAGGTTCCTATGACATCCATACCCAGTCATTAGCCGCAAAAACTGTATGGTAATTTCCACTTATGAAATGGCCTATTCGTCATTAAATTAAGCGGCATCTCAGACCCAGGGTGCATCAAGATACACTATCTGCAAAAAAGTATCAAAGATGTTAGCTATCTCCTTTTCCAGCTCTACCTCCACTTCCCATCAATGCAGTTCAGCCTCAAGAAATGTCATCATGAGTTTTCTTCGCAACTCTTCTCCACCAGCAAGTCTCACCCCATCTCCACCTTTTCCCCCTCTGCCTCTATCCTCTTTCATTTCACTTGTCCCAAAGGACACATACTCTGAAAGCAGGTCCTCTCTACTGCATGCTTTCCTTTGTTTCCCTCAGGGATCAAGAGTCAGCCACAAGCGAGATAAGCCACATTAACCACCTCTATCCTATGCAGGTCACGGAAATCTATTCCAGTTTTTACAAAGCCTGTAGGAACACAATATTCTAATTCTCAGGACTCAAAAATGTTGTCTGTATGGCCTGTTTCCAGTGTCCATGATGTTTTTGAGAAAGTTTAAGCCAGTTCCTATCACTCTTGCTGTATTTCTCATTTTAGCTAAGCAACCTCCTCAATCAGTTAAAGAGTTTTGAGTAAGAATTACAGTGAAAGCCAAATATCTGTGCCTGGACTTCTGGTCAATGACCTCCTGATGAATCAAGCGCTAGAAAGACATTCAATAGGTATGGCATCAAATTATTATCCCAGCATCAAAATAATTGAAGTGACTGCAAATGCTCTAATTGTAGGCCTGGTTTCATAAAAATCTATTCCTTTTCTCAGGTCTAAATCTTTGGGAAAGGTCTAACTTTTAATTTGATCTTCAATTTTTAAAGCCAATTGATTTTTTTCAGACAAGCTGCACCGAAGAAATATTGAGATCCCGATTGGCAAACAGGATAAAGTCTCATCCCCTTTGTGTTGTAAAAACCCTAAACAGACTGACTACAGTCTGAAGACCAGGTCAGCTAAATCTGGCTGGGGCCCAACTTTGTATAGGACAGGGAGACCAACTGGGTGTGAAATATCTCAGAAGCGCTGTTTGTCAAAGTTCTTCGGAATGTTAATGACTATATACAATTCTTGAGGTCAACCGATTTAGAAAGTAACATAGCAAATGTTCACTGAGCAGCATGACTGAGACGTGGCCAAGTTATAGGTTCTGCTCTGTAGTGAAGGGTTTGTCAGTCACTGTGTAATGCAGGCTTCAGGATTTCATTTCGGAACTACCCTGCGATATCCTGCTTCTATAACATGACTTTTCCAAACACCATTGCTATTAAGAGTTATCTTTCATTTTGAAGCCCTTACTGTGCCAGGCATTATGCTCAATTCTGACCCAATTTTATCATTTATTTTTCATAATAAAATGAGGTAGAAAACATTATCTTTTCAGTCATGGAATCTATACTCAGAAAAGTTAGGAATCTGTCCAAGGTCACACAGCTCGTAAGCCGCAGAGCTAGCTGTTTAAACCCAATTCCATCTGGACCCAAACAGATCCTTAACCACTGTCCTATTGACACTCAGTGCTGTCCTTAACAGTGGAACCACGGATATGTTTTCTAATACAATACAAATTGAAGATTACTAATTGTCTATATTACGTCTTCATGTTCTGATGTGAAGATAGATTTCTCTTGTCCCAAGAATGAATTCGTTGTACTTTGAATTTCTAAGAGCACATGTTAAAACTAAAGATTTTTTAAAGAAGACACAGGCTGGTAGCACTTGCCTCAATCACTGCTTTTTGGTCGGAGGCTGCAGTCACCTCCCCTAACCACTGTCTGCCAAACCCCCTTTTCTTTACATGAAATGTTTCCTGGCTGTCCTTTACTGTTTTGAAACATGCTCCACAGCTTTGCTGCCAACAAGCAGTTCGGAGGTGTCGTCTGTGGCATGAAATTTCTTTGAATTTTATCACTTTTAATACTTGACCATTAAGACTTAAGACATCATTGCTTAGTTTCAAGGACAGGGTAAGCAGCCCTCAGAGATGTGGGGACATAATAGGTTTGTATTCTTCTCTTTGTAACTACTCACATAAGCAGCCCATTAGTCAACCTGGATTTCCTACAGAGCGTGGGTTACCAAAACATTTCACTAAAAACGAACTTTTAAGAAAATAGAAAACCTGTGAAATTACAGTTTACAAAAGACTAATTCCTACAATGACCTGGGGGTTAAACACACAGACACACTCAACACTGCCACTATCCCAATAAAAATCCCTTAAATAGTTATTAACAAGTTGACAGTGCAATTTATCCAGAGATAGTAATCAAATCACCTACTGTTGTAGGCTTGACTTGAGGGGGCAGTTAGAATCTACAGTTTTCTTAAGATCTTTCCCTCCTTGCTTTGAAAAGTACATCCCCCCAAGACTTTCATGCTCCCCCTCCTTCCAGAAAGAGAAGAGGGGAAGCCCTAGGGATGAAAGGACTCCTCACCCTAGGATGGGGTTATCTTAACCTCTTCTGCGCTATTTATTTAACTTGTGTGTACAGCCAGAAGGAAGCCACTACTCTGGGGTCCCTTGGACAGCTTAAAACCCTAGTGAGCCACTTAACACAATAGATTGTTTTAATCAGTTCGTGTCCTGGCACCATCTCGAAGGGGAACATAAACAGATGTGCACACTGCCCAGATTTGCTCTTTCCAGCAGGAGATCCAATTACCTATCGGTGGTCACCTCTCTGCCCTCGGACCATTTAAGAGATTTTTTAACCCCTAACGCTGAGGCTGTATTTCTGTAAGACGGGATTCGAGTCGGCAGTCGACGGGTTCCACTCGGGAGCGCATTAGGGACAGCTCTGGGGACGCAGTAATTTATCCACAGCAAAGGCTGGTCACCTGCCACCCAACCCTCCCTGCCTGAGCCGGGGACCGTACAGAGCCTGGCGCAGGCAAATAAATGCCAAGCTGGGGCGTCCCCAAGGAAGAGCTGCGATCTGAAGGCAATGCCAAGTGAGAGCGGTGGCGCGTCTGTTCTGCCGGAGCTGTAGTCTACAAGTAACTCCAGCCAGCAAGGAGGTGACAGCGCCAATGTACCTCCCACTCCCCTACTGTGCGCCTTTGCACGGCACGCTGTGGAGGGGCCAGTGGATTGAGCCAGGAGGCGGGCGCGAGAACCACAGACGCTCACCTCTTTGGAGCTGCCAACCCGCCTTCGCGGCCAGTCCCTCATCCTCAGGAGCTAGTGAGGTGCAGCGAGGCGCGGCAAGGCCAGGGCTCCTTTAGGACAGTTTAAGGGATGCACGCAGAAGTGGGAACCAGCCGGTGGCCGCTGCCCGGCGCCAAAACGTCTACCATTCAGCCCCGGCGTGCGCGGGGCCGCAAAGAAGCTCGAGTAGAGAAGCGAGCACCCGCGAGTGCGTGGCCGGTGCACGAGCGGTTGATATGTGCTGTGTGAGCACTGCTGGTTCGCTGGACCTTGCGGCCAGGGCCGCGCCCCGGATCCCAGCTGTCGGGTTACCCAAGATTCCATTTTCCGCTGTGGCTGAACACAGCCGCTTTGCTCTTGCCAGTCTCCATCTCATCTCGGGGATGGGCAGACGCAAACATTGTGTATTTTCCAGATGCTCCAGCCCCCGGACTCCAGTGGGCGTCCCAAGACGCCCCCAGACCCAACGCAGCGCCTCACGCCCATGGGACCCCTCAAGGCAACCCCTGTCAGCGGCCGGGACTGCGCGCCCACGCTACGTCAGCGCGTGTGCCACGCGCTGCTGCCACGGTCATCGGGAGCGTGTTCCAGGGGTTGCGGGAGCTAGGGTCATCCTGCCCACTCTTGACAACCTTTTCCTACGCTTCCCAGACCCAGAGCAGCGAGATGGTGTCCGCAGTCTCAGAAGGACCCCACGATGGTTCTGCATGATTCAACACCGCGAACAGCGCACCCGGGCCTGCGCGCAGAGGACTGCCGCGCATGGAATCGAGTGGGTCCCTGCGGTTCGTTGGCCGCCCTTTTCCTCCCACCACACTCACACTCCTTGCCAGGTGCGTCCGCGCTCACCTGTCAGTGTGGCAGGTCCTCGGGGCCTGCGCTTTCGACGCGTGGCGCTCAGTGCTGCCGCGGCCAGAGCCGCCGGGGCTCTGCGCGGGGTTGGCCGGACCGAGAGTAATGCTGCAGCGGTGCACTGGGTCGCCCGGTCTGCGGAGGACGCACCGAGTGCCAGGCTTCGCGCAGTCTGTCGTTTAAATGCCGGCAGCCGAACGCGGCGCCCGGGGCCGCGCCTCTCCATTGGCCAGGCGCCGCCGCCGCCGACAGACCCGCTATCCGCCCCCTTTCCCGGTATTGCCCCCGCCCCCCGCACCCCTCCTGCTTCCCCGCGGGGTCCCCTCTCCGCCCGCCTCGCCTCTTTGTCTGCTCCCTCCGCCTGGGCCGGCTGGGAGAGGTCACCCCAGGGAACCGCGCTTGGAATGCACAGCAAATCACATTTTCCGCTCCCGTTCGAGAGGGAAGAGCGGGAGGAAATCCCCCCCGGCTCCCGGCCCCTCAATTCCTTGTCTGCCCCAGGTCTGGGCTTTCCCTATTGCCCGTCCAACTTCGCCTGCATTGGTCCCGCGGTCAGCAGCGGAGACTGCACCGCAAAGAGCAGTATCTCCGTGGGATCGCGCCAGATTCGGCGATTCTTCCCCTCTGGAGGGAGCAGGACTGCGGGATACTCTGGTCCAGCGACAGTCGCGGCTCCGATACCGTCCCGCCCGAGGCCCTCAACTTCGAGGGCGCTGACCCCTGCGCCCCCGTTAACCCGGCGGGCTCGCCGGCCGCCAGCAGGAGCCCGTCGCCAACATGACACCCTCCTCTCTTCGCCCGCCAAGGGTTCTTTCAGCCCAGACGCCGGCTGCCTCGGCTGCGAGTGTACAGCGAAGGGTAACGGGAGAAGAATAAAACTAAAAAGACCGTCAAAAGTCAAGGTCTCTATTCTTAAATGATCTTAGAGAGCGAAGACAGTCACTGGGCGAGAGGGGTTTTCTGTAGCGTATTAAAGACGAGTCAGGAAAATACGTTAGATCGGACATTTCGGGAAAAAAACCTACAAGCGTGTAAAACGGTTGTCTCATTCTGGATCCCAAGTATCTATTTTTGGAAAGATGAGCAAACACTTTTTTATTCTTAGCTCTAAAGATTGGTTCCTCAAAGAGTAAGTTGTGTGTCGAAGCTAAGTCGGTGCAAAAATCAGCACGTCTACAAGATCTTCAGACAAGCTCCATCAACCACCGCAAATGAAGACTGAAAAGGATTGTTATAGAAAAGTTGAAGGTGTCTGTATTGCTTAAAGCAAAATAAACCAAACAAGGAAATCCATCAAAAGATCCTTATGAAACATCCGTAATTTAAGTAGTTGGCTAGAAACACAAAGCCAGACTAGAAAACAGCGTGTTTTTTTGGTCCAGCGTTAGGGGGAAGAAACATCTACTAGATGCTGTTAGGAAGACGAAATATTTTTAAATAAACGAAGAAGTCTGTATTAATCTTTAAAATCTTAGTCATCTGAATGTTTTGATTGTGCAAGTGGCAGTTTCTACACAAACTCGAGGCTGCACTTTAGAATTCTCAATCATTTTTTGTTAGAACATCCAGTAAGCAACAGTTTGTAGTTGCCTGCAGGATGGGAGCATTGAACCAGCTTAAAGACCTATCTTGCTCAGCTGGGCTCTTGGAGAGATACGTGATCAGAAACAGAAAACACTTAAGCGATGACCAGTTCAGCTGAAGCCCACCAAGCTGAATTGGAGGCAGCTGTTCTCCCACCGTGCAAACTACTGTATTCCTCCCCCCAAAAGGAAGCTTATTTTACAAATTCACTAACTACTTCTCATCTAAAATAAGTTTTGGTCACTTTTTCTCCCCCTCAAGACTTTTTGCTCCCCAAATCAAAATACAAAGAGTTTTTGGAGCCCCGACACTGGTTTTTGGTATCTCCATCTATCAAATCATGACTCTTCATCAAGCGTCTCAGGCCGAATTTTCTAACAACAGAACCCTCACTTCTTCCCCCCAATACAGCCCCCCACCCCGCATATCCCAAAGAGAGAGGAGTGTGCATCACTGCATTTTTTTTCATTCTCATTACTCGCCGGCATTATAGTATTTCCTACCACTAGAATGCGAGGTTCATAAAGGCAGGGGCTTATGTCTATTCTACTCACTTTGATTGCGAGAACCACCTAGAGTATAGTCTAACACAGCCGTGGGATCCCATAATAGTTGTGGGTTGAGAATGTTCAACAGATTACAACTAGGATTATCAACTGAGCCAAATGCTGCAGACAATCATCGTGGATAGGATATGAGGCCTTCACCTCCTAGTGTTTAGAGTCTAGTGCGTTTGTAACCAAGTAGAGACTCAAAGTTTTTGGCGCATATTTGTGTTTCCATAGCGCCCAGCCAGTTCTTCCATACCATCATCCAATCAGGATGAAGACATAAGGGTAAAAACTCCCTAGACGACTCTAAACATGCTTACATAATTAAAACCTGCTTTTTTAGTGAAGAGAGAAATAGAAGAAAGACCCGACGTAGTCCAAGTTAAAACTCCTTAATCTGAGATGCCTAAACAACGATCGCTAAGTGAGAAATTTAGAGAGAAATTTCTTCGTGGAAAATTTAGAGAGAAATTTTTTTCATGGAAAACTTAGGAAGGGTACTTTCGTGAAAAACTTAGGAAGGGCACTTCCAAACTACTTCGAGATGGTAAGAAGAGTAGACTCTGCTCAGTTACTGGTTTCTAAAAGTAAAGTCCTTTTCCTCTTGTTTTGCCCAGCAGTCTATGGAACTGTGCTCTCTCTAACCCCAAGAAGTTCAAAGAGTGCTACTTCCCAGCTTTCGCGAAGAACTTTAAAAACCTACAGAGAACCAGCTTGGCTATAAAGACCTCCACCCAGGCAGAGCTGAAGAAATTGAGAGACAGACTTCAAAATAAAACAGGAAAGTGGGCCCTACTTAGGGGGGCCAGCAGCCTTGACAAACTGAGAGCCTCACGGACTGACAGCATTTCAGGCTGAAAGCCCGAAGCAAACGCTAATCCACTGCTATTTATTTTCTCTGAACAGGTGATTATTATTAACAAACAGGTGTTCTGTATTTTCTCATAATACAGAAATCTACCAAGTAGGCAGCTGTTGCCCACTTACCACTGATTACAAATAAGCTAAAAGAGATTCTCCACGAGGGAGCCACGGGGGCAGGGTCAGATGATCTCAAAGAATTGTTGTAACCGGTGTAAGATATTTACACATTGTCCTACCACTTTAGAATGGCCCAGGTAGTTTTCTACTTGGGGGGTGGGGGCGAGGGTGGGGGTGGGTGATGCCAGCTACCTTTTCCTTGCCATTGTTCTTCCTAACAAACAATATATTCTATCATACACTCAGCATTCATCAATATTCATAAACTTAACATTTTCTCAACACAGACCTTTATGGAAGAGTTTTAGACCTGTAAAAGCTATTTACAGCTATGCATCCAATTGCAGAGACTATGTATGCCGTCTTGCATTGGATTAAAAAAGAATAAAGCCTTTTACACATTTGGAACTGACTTGGTATACCCTTTCTAAAGAAAAAACTTGACAGTGATTAAGTAAAACTTGACTTGAAACTATGAACTTGACAGTGATTAAGTAAGAACATGTACAATAGTCAAATAGCAGTAAAATGGATCATATTCAAAATAAATTTTTCTTATAAATTAGTAAGAAAAAAATCCCCACAAATAACCCAATAGGAAAAAAAATTGGCAAAACACATGGCCAGGTAATTCACAAAAAGAAAACCTGGACAACCAGTAAATACAAAAAGATGCTAGATTACACCAGTAAATCAGGGAAATACAAACTGAGACGAGAAGATACTTTTGCTTATCTATTAGGTTACCAAAGATTTAAAAGTCTGACAATATCCAGTGTTGGAAAAGGTATAGAGAAGCAAGCAATCAAATGCATTGCTAGCAAGAAGGTAAATTAGTACCATTGTTTCAGAGAGTAATTTGTCAATATGCCTTAAAATTAAACATGCACTTAAGTTTGTCACCCAGAAATTAAACTTCTAGGTAAACAAACACCTTAGAAAAATGTGAATGTGTGTATGAGAACTAGAAACTTGTATAAGCATGTTTATTGTGGTATTGTTTGTAGCAATCTTAATGTCCATCAGCAGGCATAGGAGAAGGCATAAGAAATTATTTTATTCATATGGCAAAATGTTACATAGCTAATAAAAGAAATTGATTAGATTTTTATATTTTAGCATAGAGCTCAAAAACAGTTTTTGTTTTTTAAAAAAAGGAAGCTGGCCGGGCGCGGTGGCTCAAGCCTGTAATCCCAGCACTTTGGGAGGCCGAGGCGGGTGGATCACAAGGTCGATAGATTGAGACCATCCTGGTCAACATGGTGAAACCCCATCTCTACTAAAAATACAAAACATTAGCTGGGCATGGTGGCGCGTGCCTGTAATCCCAGCTACTCAGGAGGCTGAGGCAGGAGAATTGCCTGAACCCAGGAGGTGGAGGTTGCAGTGAGCCGAGATCGCGCCATTGCACTCCAGCCTGGGTAACAAGGGCGAAACTCCGTCTCAAAAAAAAAAAAAAAAAAAAAAAAAGGAAGCTGCAGAATAAGTAGTATGATACCATTATGTATATTTTATAATGAACATATAAAAATGGCATAAATTCCTTGTGAAAACATGTGTCCATGTGTATGTATAAGTAACTGGAATCCAGATCTTTAATCATCTTCACCAGAATGAGAAGGAGAGGAGGTGAATCAGGCATGGAAGACAAAAGAAATTTCAACATTACAAAATACTAGAAAATTTTATTTTTTGAAAAAAATCTTGAAATAAATATGACAAAATGTGGACAATTTTTATTTCTAAGTGCTGGGTACATAAATGTTTGTTAGATAATTCCCTCTAATTGTTGATAATTTTTTAAACCCTCAAACTTAAATGTGATGTTTCTGTTATGATTTCAAGGGTGATTTTGATCATCATTTGGAAACTGAATATTTTTGTTTCCCACGTGTCCTTTGTAACCAGCTCCAATCTGAGTAGGCATGTTTTCAGAATGCAAACAAGCCCGTGTGTAAGTGCGTCTGTCTGCTGACCTGTCTGAAGGCTCACTCCCGGCTCTGCACCTTGCTGTCTATGCCTAACCAGTTTCCTGTGTATGAAAAATGCATGTGCGTATGAAA